TGGGAAACCAATTGAGATATACCCTAATTTCCGGTGTATAAGCCCGCGCCGATTTCACGTAAAACCACCCCCGCTCGCGCAGTGTAACTTTGTACACCTTAGAAACCACCGCAAATTTGCCTATAGAGGTAAGTCGATGCCCTGATCACGAAAATGACTTTCATTTTCAGCGCTGGCGCCATCTGGCGCCAGTTGGCGCCACCTTGTCACGACCCTTGTTTTCGTCAAAATCGGTGTAAACTTCAGTATAGGGGTTATTTGGGACCCTGATTACGAATATGACATTCATTATAGGCGCTGGCGCTGTTTGACGCCTATTTTCTGCTCGTCTGCGCTCTCCAACCGAGACATGTGCACTAAACAACGTTAACGCCAAAAACGAATGTCATATTCGTAATCAGGGTCCCAAATAACCCCTATACTGAAGTTTACACCGATTTTGGCGAAAACAAGGGTCGTGACAAGGTGGCGCCAACTGGCGCCAGATGCCGCCACCGCTAAAAACGAATGTCGTTTTCGTGATCAGCATATCGAATTACCCCTATGGGCATGTTACGGTTGACTCTAGATGTACTCAAGTACACTGCACCAGTGGAGGTGTTTTTACATGATACTAGCGGGGCTTATACACCGGAAAATAGGGTACTTGACCTTCTGTCTGCAGGGTCCCCGCCCACCTTTTCTTAAATTCTATTTTGTTACCATTATCATTTCGCAGCCTCCCTCTTTCTTCCCCCTCTCTGTTTGACGGCCCTTCGAAGGAAAATGGGTGGAGGTGAGCTGTGACGATCTTCTCAAAATCCACAAGCTTTTTAGAAGAGTGGCCATGACGGTGAGCGATTTGGCACGATTAATAGGGGCTGCACTTAGGGAGCTCCTAACACTGATGCTGGTGGGGGTCGTATCAAGCCATCACCCCTATTGAGGTCGACAGAATTGCTGGGAAAGTGCGACGCGCTGATAAGCCCTGAGTGGGACGTTAATTGAGGTGCGGTGGGTGCGATCCGAAAGATCCGCGTAGATGTTTGTTGTTGGGCAGGATCGGCGCATTCCCTAATCGAATGTGAACAAATTGTTGTTAAATACCCTCATTAGGTGTGCAACTCATTCAGGTTTATCTAGTTGACGCTCAGCTTTCACGCAAACTTCTCTTCGCCCAAATGGACCCTCCTCCCTTACGTCGTTCTATTCTGTGCTTACCAATCTCATTGCACGACTATACACCCACAAGTCCAATTGTAAAACACCATTAGCACGCACGGCCAGTGAAGAACTTTGTGGGCCCGGTTTTAACGATCCTCCAAGTGATCGTCAACTTATGTGAAATAACCGTTCACATTAAATGTGGTTTTCTGCGTACGTAACAATATGTGAACAATATTAACACGTTGACGACACGCCCTTGTGCGCGCACCTACCCACCTTATTTTACAAATTTGCATTAACAGTTACTACATTACCAATAATTTCATTAGTGGTAACGAGAGAACTATTTTTCGTATCCAACAGTAGGAAGGGCCAGTCTTGAAGCATGAAAATGGAGGCACAATTTAGGAAAAACAAGCCTCTTCCGTGTGAAAGTGCGGGACGTATGTGTCCCGCGCTGTCGTCAAAGTGTTTAAATTAAGGCAGGGCTGATCAAATGCTGGCATCATTACCGTCTGGGTTATGGGATTGTCTCATTCTAGGCGTTCTAAAAATACGTTTTCTGGCGTTTTCTAATGTCTTATTCTAGCTTCATAAGCAAACCAAAAGGCAGTAGATCACAGTGACTGGAGGGCGGTTGTTGGTGTAGATGACGCTCATCAGGCGCAGTTGGTAGACTTACCCTCAACGCCGCGCTGGGGAGCGGTTGGGACCGTCCCTCAGCGTATTTCCACCAACGATGCTTGATGACGTCATCAACACCGCACCGCCCACCAGGCCATGTTAGTTTCACGCATGCTTCCTAAAATAATATTATATTTCTACCCGCAGTGAACCAAAGGGAAATTTTTCCATTGACCGCTTTGCTATGACGCATATTTTTTATGAACTAGCAAGCTAAGACGATGATGTGCTAGCTTATGGGGACTCGCGTGGTGCAGTGTGCATAGACGAAAGAAGGGAGTAGCGTTGACCAGTGCTGAATAGATTTTCGGAGGTATCATTCAGCAACTCCTCTTTCACTGGCGAAAGGGCCACAGGAGGCCGGGAGACAGAAGCGCTAGGGTCAGCACTCGGTACCGCGGAGTCCTCGGGACAATCCACAGGACTCAGTGAGTGGGTGTCTTTGGTTAGAGAAGTGTGCTTCTCACTAAAGTTGGAAAACCAGTTATCGATCACAAAGTTCCATAGTGGAGTTTTTGCACAAATCTGAAAAATCTGTAGGTATGCCACTTCAGCCAAACTCCGCCCACCTCCGAAGTTACGAATAACAATCAACGCGTCATTAAGTGGTGCGTGAAAGTGCGCCAGTCGAGGTATCTATTTTTCACTTATTCTTTCATATTCAGCTCTAAAAAATATTGCATAATGGAACTTTACGAGCGTTTCTTGCCGATGTATAACTCGTTCACCATCAGATTCCCATTAAAGCAGATTTACGATGAAAAGTTAGCTCATTGGAAATAAGGGTAGAGGTGGTCAGTGGAGCAGGGATGAAGAAGAAACCATTTGAAACGGCCGAAACCCGAGAAATGGGACCCCTTCCTTGCCCGTTGATTTGCGCATTGATGCGACTCTCATCGCTGTGCCCTCTTCAACACTACGCTCTCTCTGCTATCTAATCACTCGCCACGTATAGACCTGCGGCGAGTGATTAGATAGTCGGTGGGCGTACCCCGCCAACCGCGCCAAGAGTGAGCCATGCTAGATCGCCGAGGTCAAATCTTTCGCTGCCAATTGCGCGTCGGTCAGCACCCTCAGGAGGTCCGCCTGTCTCCCAACTATTTTCCCTTCTTTGACCTTTGTTCTTATCGTGAATTCCTCCTTCAAGTGGAGAGAATTCATTCGATCGTTTCAGCCTGCAATTATCTGCCGATGTCACGTCACCAACGATCCCACATTGCACTCCAACCCTTAGATAGATTAGATTGATTCAGATTTACGGTGACCACCTTTAAATACTTCACTTTATTATGCAGTGGCGCAAGCGGCGGTAGGGCGCCGGGGCGAAATTACTTGTTAGTTCGTATGTGGCTTGGATATACACCTAAACACCCATGAAAGGGCACGCGATATCAATGTCGAGATCGCACCACGTACACCACTGAGTCTGCAATTACGACACATTTTCTGTGGGAAACAAAACCGACCCATACACAAAGATCTGCATCCATCCTATGGCTAAAGTTGAACCGCCTCCGGTACAAAACTAGTCGACTTTTTGAATACGGTAGGTCGGTGCGAGTACAGGTGGGCGGGCACCGTACTTTTTTGATGGGACGGTCAGCGGCGGAAATGGGTGCAATGTCAGGAGCCACTCCGTACTAGTTGTCATGAAGAAGGGAGGATTAATGAGGTCAGGTTGGGAGATGTAAACCAGATATAGGGGAGTGTGAGCGGGATGGGCAGTCAATTAAAATGCGATGAAAAGCGCGCGGACTTGTGAGTTCTTCATGGCGTCTCGTCACGTCTTTAGGCGGTTGACGGACTACTTGAACTCAGCCCTTTACCGCCTCTGCGCTCTAGCGGGTCCCTCTCCTCTCCAAGGCTTAGTCCTAGGGCATTCTCTAATCGTCTGTGCTCTAGCCATCGCGGCAGGACCATTGAGGAAAAATCAAGTAGTCCGTAAACCAGTGGCGGGCAGGCAGTCCCACTATACAACATTCACGATTACGCTATTAAAATTCGTCGGTGGCTCAGCGCACTGTGGTGCCACACACACAGCTTAGGGAGTTTTATGGAGATCAGGGAGAATCCACAGCCACCAGATTTCAATTGGGAACAATGCTGTTTACGAACCGTTCAAAGAGGCGCTCGCCGCGGTCCGCCGCACGCGATCGTCGCGGGCGGTGATCGCAAAGCCGTCCTTTCTTCCCCGAGTTCGATATAGTGGAATGACACGTTTGAGCACACAAGCACCTCTCCCGCTATATCTCTCCACTTTTTTCCTGGCAGCTCACCAGAAGAAAACCTTTGTTGCAACAGGTACTTCAGAATATTCGCAGCGTTGACCGTTTCCAAAGCAAACACTCGAGTCGGCGCTTGTGAGCCAACGTTCTCGCCAAGTCATTTTCTTTCTCTGTTGTCCTCTCTATTCGTTCGTGAAGCTGTGTTTCATTTCGAACCGAGCGCAATTTCGATATCCAGCAAATGTTTTGTTTATCAGTGAATTGTTACCGCCCTCGTATTACACTAAGGTGTCATTGAACGGACTAATGCACGGCTAGGATGACTTCTGGAGAAAAAGTCGTCAACGGGTGTATCGCCAAAGCGAAGCACATGGAATTCCACTGTGACAACCTTACTGATTTTTATGCTGTGAACTAGTTTCTGTTGCGCGTTGTGTAACACAGGAGCTAACAAAGGTTATTCAAATAAATATCGATCAACGTCTCCACGAAACATTTCGTTCCTTTTCTTCACTTATTTCATCGTACTATACCCTTTTTTTGCTAGAATACTTGTCGTCGTCTCGCCCTATTGCTTATGAAAATTAAATATGTGTCAGTCTACTTTATTTGCTTTCAGATGCGTGAATTCAAAGTGGTTGTTTTGGGGAGCGGAGGTGTGGGTAAATCTGCTCTTACAGTTCAATTCGTCAGCAGTACTTTTATTGAAAAGTACGACCCTACTATAGAAGATTTTTACAGAAAAGAAATAGAGGTACGAATCACTCAGTGATTACTTGATTACCTTTTTTAATTTTGCTCTGCTACGATTGATACGCATTCAAAGTCTCCTTTGTGAAGTTTTGAAGTTTTTTTTGCCTAATTTTGTCCTTACTCTTCAAGGTCGATGGTCAACCCTGCGTGTTAGAAATACTTGATACTGCTGGAACCGAGCAGTTTTCATCTATGCGTGATTTGTACATCAAGAATGGGCAGGTATGGCACACTTTCCAGTTCTTTTATTTTTATGCAGGACAGCAATTGAGTTTGTTTGGTTAGATAATTTTTCAATCAAGAATATCATCAGTAGACCCTGTCCTTGTGCTTCGCAAAGTATGTTGAATGAAATGAAAATACATCTAGCACTCCTTCCGTCCAGTAAAATTTATTCCACTGAGTTATAGCAGGGACCTATCCTTCTAGGGAAGCGTCCTCCTCCTTTGATGCTACCCACCCTGCGTTTTTTAAACGGGTTATTCTGTGGTGACTTCGAGCACTGATCCCTGTGGAGTCACGCGGTGAGCTGTGAGCAAGGTAGAAACGCAGAGCTAGGGCGGATCCTATGAAGCAACTCTGTCACCCTCAGCCTTGGGAGCTGTATGCTATTCTTCCCCGTTGGTTAGATTAGAAGAACAACAAAAATGTAGTCGTGGCCCTTATGAATTAATTTCAATGCCATAGTTACATTATTTAGGAACAGGCCCTTTTATAAGGAAATATAGTAAGGAAGGCGAGAAAATTCCAAGGGGATTTTCATCCCTCTTCTCTTAGAGGATAACCTATGGCCCATGATAGCATCGGAGCAGAACGATGTGTCTCTCCGGAAGAAGGCTAGCACACAGCCTCATGAAAATCTCCCACTGAGTTGTGAATTTTTTGACCACATGCAGTACTTTGCAACGGTTATATTTTCTTTTTTATTCCTGGGACTGTCAATGTGTA